GGCCCCCGCGCCCCGGGCGCGGCCGCCGACTACAGGCCCTACCTCTGCAGGGCCTGGCAGGACGCCGTGAGGCGGAGGCTGTTCTTCTCCAAGCAGGGCGGCCCCCCGGGCAGCCCCCAGTTCTCTGTGGTGTGGCGCCACTCAGGAAGCAGCGCGCTGAAGAAGCGCGGCTTCGTTATTGGCGAGAGCGGGGTTCAGTTTCAGTGATACGCGTCACGGGCAGGTCTCTTTGCAGGGTTTTTCACGGGCTGACGTGACTCAGCTCCAAGGTTTTGAATTCCGGGGGATTTCACAAAGCGGCGTTTCCACGTGGAACGGATTCCTCCAGCTGGCGCGGTAAGCCTCAGACGCTTCTGTTCCTTGGCCGTTGAGCGTGGATCCCAGTGATCCAATTAAACTGTATTAAAGCTGCTATATGTATTTTAAACAGTGGCCAGACCTCCATGTTTCTCATACAGAGGAAGATTTATTTTAATAATTTATGCACACAGAACTGGGGTGCCGGCCAGAGGTGTGGGAGGTGAGAGGCTTCCCCAGAGACAGAGTGGGGAGCGGGGCAGGCGGAGCCACTGAAACCCACTGCCGAGGGGGCGGCGGGGAGACAGCAGGGGTCTGCTGCGCCCCGGGTCACTCGCGCTGCAGTGGCCTCGGACAGCCTCATGGCGCTGAGACTTAACCCCTGCGCCACCAGGGCGGCCCATTAAACTTGCTTTAAGCAAATAGCGCCCACATTTCAGCCTGGGAACAGGACTTCTATAGCTGTCACGTTTCTGGGCCTCAGCTAAGTCCTCACTTGTTGGGAAACTCGAGAGGCGCCTCCACCCGCTGCAGCTATCGTGGAGCCGCGACTGGAAGCTTTCTGCAGGTGGCGCGCCGGCCCCGCCCTGCTGGGAGCCCGAGCAGTGCAGCTTAGCCCTGCAGGTGCCAAGGAGGACGCCCTTCCGGAAGGGCTTCCGTGCGGCGCAGAGGGAAGCCGGTGCCCGTGGGAGCTGTGGCGTCGGGGCTCTCTCCTCACTCGAAGGGGCCGCGTGGGAGCTGCCTGCTGCGCTGGCCCCTGCCGGCCGGGTTAGTCCGGGTGCAGCCTGGAGCAGGCGGCTCCCGGTGAGGGGGGCCAGCGGTGCAGGGGACGCGCGCGCCTCGGGGCTCCCGGCGACGTGTGCGGAGGAGGAAGGACATTTTAGGGGCTTCCCTGAAAAGAAGGCAGCAATGTGACGTTTAGGTGGGCCCCCTCGTCCAGCCCGATTGGGGTGTCCAGACGCAAGGAGGTGTCCCTGTGGCTCCGAGAGGTGTGGGCAGTGGTGCCCTCGGGACAGTCCACTCCCCTGGCAAAGCTTCTTTTCAATGGCTTACGTGGATCCGGAGCCCCAGACGGGACGTCACATCGTGGGTGCAGCGCCTGTGTGCCCCCTCTCGCTCCCTGCAGTTCACACAACCGCGGACTTCCGATGTGTGTCCCAAGCCGACCTGCAGGGCTCGGTGCCCAGCCCGGCCAGCCTTACCCCCAGGGGCACCCCTGTGGGTGGACACGGGGGTTTCTCGGAGCAGTCCCCTAGGGCGACTCCAGCTGCCCGCAGACGCCATTTAGGCACTGACGGGCCTCCAGCCTCACCCTCCCCTCTAGGGAGGCCTGTGCCGTCTCCCCAGCGAGTGACACCCCCATCCGGGAACTCCTTTTGTCGCGTGACGGGGGCCCCAGACCGACAGCCTCGTGACCCGAAAAGGGGGGCTTCTCGTTGGCCGCCCGGTGGGGTCCCGCCAGGGCGGGTCTCAGTGCAGACCAGCACCTCCCCGCCTCAGCGGAGGGTTTGCTGCTCATAAGCTGGACGTGTCTGCGTCCAGTGCTGCGTCCTTCTGCGGTTCAGGTTCGTGTGCCAGGCTCCCTGCGTTCCATGGAGCTGTAAATCGCCGACCGGGTGTGCCCGTGCCCAGGGCTGCTCCCCTCGACCACTTCTTTCAGCCCTTGAGAAGACCCGACAGCTTACTTGTCTCCTTCCAGTCTGGCAGGTGCAGAGTGCATGTGTGCGTGGTGTGTGCGTGCACGGTGCGTGTGCGTA